GCTCGTGAAGAGACCTAAGTTGGAAAAAACCGACCAATTTCATCATCCACCGATACGCAGCAAAGCTAGTTGCGAACACGCACGAAACAGAATTCATACATTTCAGTATCATTTGGCATGTGAGTATACTTGATTTTAAAGTTATTCAAGAGACGTTTCATGAGATAAGGGTGGGGTGTGACTGTGGGCGTGAGTGTGTGGATGAAGCGAACACTCTAGCACCTATACCCATACCCCAAAAATTGTTAATTTCTTAAAAAACTCTTTGTCAGGTCAAAAAAATGAAGTATAAAATTTTAAGAAACTGATTGTAGATTCCGATTCCTCGACTCTGAGAACCTTTGGTCAAAAAGAATACTGATTATCGAATTAACTCTAGGTCAGTCTACTAGATATCGAGTGGAGCTATTTGGCACCCAGTTGGACCGGTCATCCAGTCCGACTGAGTGCCCAGGCGGACTGTTATCCAGTCTCCCAGTTGAGACTGGGACTGGTGCATACCTACTCTCATGTCACCTTCATCCAACCTTCACCTTATCCTTACCCCATGCTCAAGATTTGTTGCATATAGAGATCTGGTTTATGATCTTAGGATCATTAGAATATAATCTATTTCTAACTTTATCGAAACCATCTGATGAGACCCTTAAGCAAGATGGAAACGCGTAACGGTATGCTTTACTCATCCCACATCCTGGGGTATGAAGGTGAAGAGAAGGCACTGCATATACCGTGCACTATTTAAGTATTACTCAAGGACAGTGATGTTGATTTCACTTGTTTCCTTCACAAATGGGTCGACTAACAAAAAGTTACTCAAGCACAGTGTACGGCATCTCATTGCATTTTCAAAAAAGGATTGATTCCTCGCAGAAATTCAGAGAGTGAGAAAGAAATTAACTGAGAGAAAGGAATAGCGAAGGCGCGAGAGAAAGAGAGAAGAGTGTATGTTCTTCCTCTGCAAGAAACATTCAAATCATTTTGAATTTTGTCTTGGACGACGACACATACTCGAGCAAGATGAGTCTGTTAAACAACAGAACAAAATTTCGCCATTTACTCTTATAGATATTCTAGCTCTCTCTGCGCCGGGACTCAATGGAACAAATGAAAAGTCATCATATCCCTCTCAGCTTATGTTTTGCTCGAAAGGTCTGGTCTTTCAAAAAGTCTCACATTTGAATCTCTTGAGGTCATTTCGCCAAAAATTCCCAATTTCAGGGCGTGGGATGTAGATACGGACATCCCAAAATGTTTGCGACATGGCGTATTTTTTACATATTGCACCACCAACAAAATAAAAAGTCTTAACTTTTTCTTTAAAAGATGCGAGTGTTGCTGTGGCAGTAGCTGTAGAGTGTGGGTGTGGATGAAGAGAGATTCCACATCCCACGCCCAGACCCACCCATACTCACACCCACACCCACATTCACACACCCCCCCCCCACACCCACATTCACACCCACACCCACCCACACCCTTCATTAATTAAGTGAGATACAACAAGTAGAAATGAAGAGAACGAGAGTAATTACTCTGTGACGAACAGAACGAAAGAATTTTTTTTTCTGCGACGAACAGAACGCGACAAAATGTTATGCGACGAAGTGATCGTGCGACGAAATGATTGCGATGAAATGTCGTGCGACGAAGTGGACGGTCACCTTTTTATCATTAGTCTTAGAGTATTGAGGTCTTCAATTGCTGAAAGTTTCAGCTTGGCTGCTGAAGGTCATTGTATTGGTGGGAGATTTCCGGTGGAACTACCCAGAGGCATTTGATGTTTGGTCAATGTGAGTACAAGTTATTGGGAGAATCACATCGTATCGATTGATTCAATCCAATCTCAATACGATGTTACACATGTATGAGGAGTAACATAATGACGGGAAGAAAATTTTCAATCAAATCATGCAAGATAAGTCACTGCCACCCTCAAGATGATTTTTATGCATACCAAGGTCACGGTGATTTTTGTTCTAATTAGATAGTAGGATAACGTGTGTTACATCGATTTTCCTATAACATTTTCACCACATATGACGAATTCGTATAAAAAACAACACTAAGTACGATCAGATAAGACTTCCACAATGACATTAGGTGCAATAATCAAAATAAATCGCAGTATCCCTACAGGACCTTCTTGTCATCTACACTTAACCCTTAAAAGCCGAATGTCTCTCCCAAGGGACATTGCGATAATTGCAATAAAAAGCGTCTGACGAGTATTTCTACAAAAACCAGTGGTTTTCTAGACTCAGCAAACCTCATAGATCATAGAGAACGAAAAGAAATTATTCTTAAGTAATGGTGAGACCAAACAATGGGGTTTTCAAGGTGCGTGGGTTTTTGGATGCCATATTTTTATTTTGAAACTTTTCTCTATTCATGAATATTCGATTAAAATTTCTGTTTTTGAGCGATCTCGCTAGGCGAATCACTAGACTGTAGCATGAAACCATCCGATGAACTGTGGATTGATCTACTGCTATGCTACAGCACTGTAGAGAAAATGTCCCTTACAAGGAACATTCGGTCATAACGCACCAAAACACTTGAAAAGTGTAAACATTCCTAAGATGAAATTTAAGCGATTTTTGCTTATTTCTGATCATAGGAAGGTACGACGTTATTGAGAAATCAAAGGAAAGATCATCTTTTTAATTCAGCCGACGAAAATCTTCGATTATCACTAGGTTTTTTCCATTTGAGGGTAGGAAAAAGGGCCCAGCTTTGGTTCCACGTCCTTCGCAACCACTCTGATTCGACTCTAAAACAGCATTGAATAGCTACTTCGTCGATACAGCAGAATCAGTAATGTATGTATTTGACAATCCCTTTCTCCTCGTGGTTATTAATCGAATGACAATTCAAAGACCCCACGAACAAGCATTCTAACGCAATAGAAAATGCATAGCTATAGAAAAACCGTGAAATATCACTTCAGTTCATCATTTTCGTATCAAAAACTAAATAAAAACGCCTATTTGATGAAAAAAAATCTTTCCAGATCAACCAACAACAGAAAAAATTTTTGCCCCGTTAAGACCGAATGTCCCTTCTAAGGGACATTTTGTATCCCAGCAAGAAAAAACAATTTTCTGTTCCCATTGTGGTATAATCATACTGAGAGTGCAGAAGCTCTGTTTTAGTTATTGATTCTTTCATATTATCATAGGAACCTCCTTCGGCTCTTAAGGGTTAAGTTAGACTATGTGCGGCTTTGCATGAACGTCTGTGAACAATCAATGAATGCAGCAAACAATTGATTGATCTTCAATAGTCGAAAAGAAACTTGCATCTCTGACACTTACTCTATTGATTTCCAGATGCTGGAACTACTCTTGTCAATGAATCTTTATGTTGATGTTTATTAGTTCGATTAGCAGAATTTCTGTTCTTTCTATTGATTTTTTGCTTAGGAAAGCGAAAGGAAGCATTCCGGTGCTATTACACTCGTTCTTTCTCCTGGAACACATTGAATATTTGCGTTGTTTGTGTTGTTAGAAGTTGTTTAACTACAACAGAGTTTCACCTGTGACGATATGATGTTTTTTTTTGGAAATATAATTTGGGGACAGTAAAATAAATGACACGGTTAGTACGTAAAATAATTATAAAATCAGTAAGTTTAATGAACGGTCAGTAAGCCGTGTGGGATTGAGTAATTAGTAAGTTCAACTCTCTCTCTCACTCTTCAAAGTATACGATGCATACATAACCGATTACATTAAATTTGATGGCAATGTTTATTAGTCAAGAAAAATCAAAAAAAAGTTTAAAAAGTGTATTACGAAAAATTTTATTTATCCAACTGTTTGTATTTTATGATTGAAAAATTCATTAACTACTCAAAAAGCATTAGACCGAGTTGAAAATGTCCGAACATACAGTATGTCTTATCTCAGACATCAATCAGAAATAAACTAAAATCATTATAAATATGATATGTCGACTTATGAATCAGTTCTAAATTAGTGAAATATTAGTTTGTTAATGTATAAATTAAATTGTAGTCAATGTTGATTTCAACTTTATTGAACTCAAAATTAATCCTGACGAGTATAAATTCATCTTGAACTCACATTTGCGTAAATTGAGGTGTTAAATATAGGAGAAAACAAACTTTCATCAATTGCTATGGAGACGATCAGACCATTTCTCGAAGATATTTTACGGCCGTCGTAATATTCGTCTATACTGAACTTGAACTATGCATCGATGGTAGACTTTTTTTTCCAAAAGGTCATCCATTGTATTTTTTGATAAGAACATCACTTATAGCCAAACAGTGGGCACATATGTTTTGTATCAGATATGAGTCAGTCTAATCTTCATCTTCTTGACTTACCCAATGAATTACTCTTTATTATATTGAATAAATTTGGCAATGTTAATGCTTTATTTTCATTATTGGGTCGTATCAATGAACGATTTGACAGTCTATTACAAGATAATATTTTTACGAAAACTCTTCATTTGATCAAAATATCATCGACTTATGATGATATTTCTTTATTTGATGATTCAATACTTAATCATTTTTGCTCTGGTATATTGCCGAAAATTCATCATAATGTGAAACATCTTACTCTTGAATCAAAATCTATGAAACGTATTCTTCTTTGTGGCAACTATTCGAATTTAGTTTCTCTCAAACTATTTCATTTCACACAGGATATTGCTTTCTTTTATTTTACAGGTAAATATTTCATAAATATTCTTTCAAAAAAGAAAACTCACAATATAATAAACACACATTATCTAATTATACTTTAGATCAGTCAATCTTTCGACATATTTTCAAAGATCAAATAATCGAACTTACTCTTTTAGTTGACGATGATTAATATAGGGGAAGATCGTTAAAAGATTATACTGTAAATGTATATGTACCGATCTTGACGTTTTTTAAAAGACTAAAGCATCTAAGTATTAGTATTCCATACCTTTATGGTGATTATCCATCTTTATCAATTTGTAATTTATCATCAACTATGTTTTCGTCTTCAATTCTTACGAAATTATCTATTGATGTATATAGTTTTGATGATTGTCTTTGTTTATTGGATGGTCGTCTCAAACAATTGACCATACTTATTGTTCGAATTTATAAGATCAACTATCATTCATCGATCATTCACACGATTGTAAGTTTAGATTTCAGAATTCTTTTTAATCGAGCGAGTCATATCGATCATATTTAATAATTCGATGTATTTTGTTTGTTTGATAGACAAATATACAAAAAGGTATGTCCCTATAGATAGTGGTGGTAAAATACTTCCTGTTGAAAAACATTGATCTGTTGGATAGTTGTCGAAGAGTTTGTATTTAACAGATTTCTGCTTCCCAACCTTCCACATAAGTTGTCTGACAGATGGAACCCAGATTCATCCTGCAAGTATTCAAACAGACAATCTATGTTTGCTGAACTTTTCTCTATGAGAAAGAGAATATACTTTTACGTACATGTTTGTATTTTTTTAGGATGATAATTTACCTCATTTGAAATGTTTCTCATTAATATGTTATGAGAAAACTAATGCGTACGATAATCGAGTACTTCCTCTTCTTCGTCGTATGACATATTTGGAAAAATTAACATTATATCTTCGTTTGCATGATCGAAATATATTTGTTAATGGTACTCATCTTCATCGAGAAATTCTTATGCATATGTCACAACCTCATACATTCATTTTTTATATAAGTACTGAAATTGAAATCAATGATTCAATTAATCGTTTATCTGATAATGATATTCAACAAACGTTTACAAATATAGGTTATCATCGAATAGCTTGTGCTATAAATTATTATCGTAAATCCAAAGCAATATGTCATGTTTTCTCACTTCCGTTCGTATTTGATCGTCTTATCAAGATCTGCAATCATTTTCCAGCTGTGATATATGAACATGTTACGAAACTGACGATACTTGATGACATTCTATTTAATTATGAATTTATCGTGTGTATTAGGAAGGCTTTCCCATCGCTGAACGATTTGACCATTATCATTCTTCAACCTCCATCAGTTGAGTTTGGTCGAGATGAACTTAGAAGATATCAATCAAGTGCAATTATGAAATACCTTCATCTTACTAGACTTACCACTTCGTATGAAAGTGATGACTATTTATAAGAGAACTTTACCAGAGATACAACATGACACAACTATCTTAATATAAAACTAATAAGCTTTGAAAAGATTATTAATTATTCAAATGAATTATCTCTGTATTTTTTTTCCTGATTATTTGAAAAATAAAAACTCTCATATTGCGTTATATCTAACGCTAAATAGTTATGTATGTAAAGAGAAAACGCATATTTTTCATTTTTTGAAAATGATTTTCACTTATATCGAAGATCTCTATTGAACGATCACCTATAGTTTGCCGTTGACTTTCTACCATTGACTCTATATTATGTTACTACACAGGATGCTGAGGTAGTCTCATTCGCTATCCATCACTCTTATTTGTACGCTAGCACAAAAAAGCATGATAGTCCTGCCATATGATCTTGGTGTAAACTTTTTTTTCATTTATATTGAGACCAGGAATATTTCTCTACGTATAAGCTTATATCTATTTGCACAAAATATGATGAAAATGCTAGATACGTCTGAACTCCTATATTATTATCGCTGGTGTGCTTGTATCCAAAATGATATTCCGTGCATCATCCCTCATATGGTAGCGACTGTTAGGATTCATTGCCATCATTCACTCTACATTTTATTACCTGATCTTTCGATACAGATTCTGTCTCGAAAGATTAAAATCAGACCAAAATTGTGTCATTTTCATCATTTTCTAATGGAACAATGATCGACTTTAATCTGATTCTTCCGTAGTATTTTTTATATGGGAACTAGAAGTGAACATAGAACAAGATCTTCTGTCCTGTCATGTGTTCATCTCTGACGACAAAATATATATATGACTAATTCGCATTTTTAGGTTTCACTTCTTTTGTTAAAAGATGTCGCTATGAAATAGTTACCAAGTCAATATATCGTCAATAAGAATACATTTTCGTCTTTTTGAAAAGATTTTAATGAGTTTTTAGTTATGATCTATAAAAGATAATTCTGATTCTAATCGACAAAATTTCTTCGAAATATTCTAATTGATGATTTGTATAATACCATATTTATTAATTCAATGGATGAGATATAACATCTAACTATTCATTTCATTTCAGAAAATTCTATTAGTCTATTTCAATAGATGATGTGGACTGACGACGAAGATTCCGATGAAGATCAACAACAGAATACATATCGAAACAATGATCAAATAACACAAAGATATTCAAATAAAGGAAAAAAAGACAAATGTAATTGTCGTCGAGAATGTTCAAAACGTTCTTGTTGTTGTTTTAAATTTGGTAGTGGATGTAACACATCGTGTGGATGTGGCACATCTTGTCAAAATATGTTTAATTGTCTGGATTATTTCTTTGGTGAAGATGGAGCATATAATGGAAATTCTTGTTTTACAAAATGGCTTATCAAACATGCTAAAAATGCAGATGAATTAAAAGTGATTGATCGGAAGAAATTACATCAATCTATCATGCAATCTCCAAGTTATCGAAAAGTACGTAAGGATGAAGAATTTGCTGATTGGATAAAACAATGGTGTAAAATTAGTGAATACGAAGAAATAGAACATATTCAAAAAAATTTTCGAATGCTTCTATCAGATGATACATCAAATTATTATTATTCATTTTGTTATAACGATGTACGTCGAAAAGATCTTCATGGGTTTTGTAATAGATGTCGAAAATTTTTGTATTATAGAGAATGATATTCGATATAAATGTATGTAGTAATGATCGTTATTTGGATATAACAATTTTATGAATTTATTTTAGATACTTATGGTGTTCACTTGTCATGGACAAAATATCGAAGAATAAGTAACATACTGACGTAGTTTTGTTTAGAACGTTAAAGAAGATTTATTAGATGTGATGTTTTTTGTTTGTAATAATTATGTTTCTTATGTTATGTTAATAATTCAATAAATGATTTGTGTAATGATCATTATTAAAATGATTGATGTTAGATAATCAATATCATAAATCTTCGTTCGAATGAGTTCTCATTTATATAGCTAAAGTGAGCAATAGATGTGAGTTGATTACAGAGTCCTTAATTCCAGATCGATACCTACCTGTAAAATACATTAATAATGTTATTACAGGGTGATCCAAAAGTTCCCGGAACTACCTTCGATTTTTCTGTTAGACGCAATAAAGGATCTTTTTTTGTCATATTTGAATACTATAAGGACTGACCTATTAACTGACGAGATTAGACACTTATCGTTTGCTTCTGCCAAAGGGGATAGTCAAAAATCACGAAATTTTCTCCACTCTGAAAATATTATAAAATGAAAGTATGTTAGTAGTATATAACTGTTTTGATATTG